CTGCACAGTAGATTAGTGATGCCGTAGTCATGTGACCCAAGCCAGCTTTACCGAAACTTCCCACCGAGAGTGCTGCGAGCCTCTTGCCACTTGGGCATCTCCAACGGCTCATTAGCAGAGTTGTTTGTGTCCAAGTCCGATGAAGAGTTGCTCTGAGAAGAGCCTCAGTATCAAGCGGCTCAGAAGGATGAGGAACACACCTGGGAATCAATGTCGATAGCATCTTCCATGGTGCCAGCTTGCACTTGCGATTTCTTTGCCACTACCTTGAGTCCATGGTCAACGAGGGATGAGTATTGGGACATACAGATGTGCTCAGCTTCGACTTCTCCCCCTTGCCCCTTTCCTTCGCTGTGGACTTCATTTTGTCCATTGAAGACGCTTTTTTCCGTGGTTTATTCTGGGTATATAGTGAGATACTGCAATACTAGTAATATGGACAGTGACAACTCACCTTTGCCTCCCTTTCAGTTGTCTTGGCAGGAACCCCCGTCTTCATTTCTGTGACTTTGACGCTAGTATCATGTTAGGATGGACAAGCAGAAACGGAAAGGAACATGGACGAACACCTCTGAAATCAAGTCCAGCAGCTGTGTGGCTCAAAGCTGCACAAGGATCTTCTCATTCTCCTCTACTCAATTTGCATAATGCCGTATGAAGTCATAGGCAACGATGGGCGAGCCGTTATGCCGCCTCGGCGAGGTCGTCCGGACTATCACGCCTTGGTGTTCTTTTTGCGTGCAGACAGGCCGTCTTTGCACTGTCTGGGGTCAATCCGGCGACCTTGCCCTTAAGCTCCCGGCAACGTTTGGCGTGCGTGCAATTGGTGCAGCCGTTCTCACTGTCGTTGTAATTTGTGGGGCCCGCTCGCGACGGCTTACGAGGCAAGGGATTTGCGCGGGTCTCCGTGGTGTTTCGAGTTTTAGGAGTGCACGGACGAAGAAAACGTGTATGTATTGTTGGAGATGGACTCGCGTTTTGCGGACCTACAGGCGGTGTCGGAGAATTTCCTCTACTGCCGCTCCTGTTTCCATTTTCTTCCCCGCTCCAATACTCTGCAGGCATGGAATCGGGACCTGGGGCGCTCCACGCGCCCGAACGTCCGGAAGCGGCATGCAGGTCGCTCACCGTCCCTGCGGCGTCCTCGGGCCGCATCATGGGACCCTCAAACAAGGCCCGTGCGCTGTCATTCTCGTTCACCACTTCGGCGCCGTTTGACTTCCCCGGTGCGCCACTGAGTACCTTCCCCTCGTGAGCCATTCCCCGTGGCTTCGCCTCCCTTGCCTCACCCCCCCGCGCATTCCCTTCCTACCAGGCCACATAGGGATGCAGGCCGTCTGGAGGCGGGGACCAGCTCGAGTTGGGCCGGGCTTCTGGCAATGGGAGACGTGCTGTTTTGACCCGAAAACTATCCAGACGTGCTGCTCTGGTTCGGCGAACTGTCGCCTGCCCGGGCCGCTGCCTCCTCGCTCCCGTCCCTAGCTGCAGAATGGACGATCGTACATCCCTTGCGGGCCAGGCGCTACTCCTAACCTCCTAGGACTCCTCCCCAGTCCCCTGGTGTCGAGTTGGGCTTGGCAACGGCTCGACGCATCATTCTCGTGTTGTGGTGAGAGTCAAGGAAAGATGTTTTTTGACAGCTTCTGTCATCAGCTGACAGTGTGTCCGTGACGGCTGTAGGGCTCGGCACCGTATCCGTAGCCATACGGCATATGGACGTACGTACGGACGAAATGTCCGTACCGTGGAGCTCCGACAGTGGACCGTATGCTCCGTATCGTATCCGTACGTGCGGGCCGATACGGTGATGGGATCACCGGGCCGCTGTTCCAACTCCCTGGCCACAGATTTGGCGAGCGACCGCATGGAAATCGTGGATCTCACCAATAACGCGGGCTTGGCATGGCCGAGGCCGTGATACGCGGCCGGTCTACCCAACGTAGACGTCCGTATCACGTACCGCACCGTACACCGTACCGTACCGTCAGGCCGGCCGGCCGCTTGTCCGTACCGCCGTAAGGTCCGAACTTGGCCCGTATCGTCCGTAAATACACCAAGAGGAGGCCTTGGGGGCCTTTGGGACGCGTCCAGCACGCGTCTGGCAAGTTGGGACGACGCCAGAGGGCGTCCGGAGCACAAAATACTGGCATAGCCGCATTGAGGCGCGTCCAGAACACCGCCAACCGCTGGTGGACCGAGCGGCCCAAGCTCGTAAGCTGATACGCGTAAGCAGGAGGGCGATATGCGTTAGAGGACGCGCTGTACACGCTGTGTGCACTGCGGGCACAGGCCAGATAGCGGCCTGCGCAGGCTGGAGGGCAGTGAGTAGGCAGTGCGCCTAGAGGTATATATTTGCAGCGTTTGTACACTAGAGGACAGAGAATACGAGTGCCCGGCTCTGCGCGGGTTTATTGTGGTTATCGCCGTTGTTATCTTTTGTCGCCGTTATCGCCGTCTCCGTTATCGCCGTTTCTGTTGAAGAAGTTCTGTCAGTTCGCCCCGTTGTTCCGAGTGCCCGCCCGCCGTCCCGCCTTCCCGCCCACTGTTGATCTTGGTCCCGCCCGTTGTTTCGCTTACCTAATCACTCCACCCTTATCGTTCCGAGCCGTTAAACGTGTTTTCTGGATTGCAGCAGCTATATACTTTAGCTGGAACCCCCGTACTTGCGCGCATCAGTTAACTACCCCACCCATTTCAAACTCCGACGTGATCCGCTTCTGATCCGGTCTGATCCGAGTGATCCGAGTGATCCGAGACTCGGCCCGTGTACTTTGGTGTTAGGCTCCCTGGTTTTGTGTTCTGTTGTGTTTTGTGTGCTGATTTAGTGTGTTGTGTTGGAGTTTGTTTGTGTTAGTGTGCTAGTTTTTCTTGCGTTTCAGCACTACAGTGTTGAAAGAACAGGAGAAAAGTTCAATGCTTATTCTGTAAAGTAGTACAGGATTTATACCCGTAAGTTCTACCAAAGTCTGACTGGGATGGGCTGAGTGATCCGCCCGGAGTTCGCTAGAGAAGCAATATTACAACACCATGTGATCGCGCCAGAGTTTCACATCAATATGCAAATGACTGTAATGCAAAAACCAGTTTATCAATTATTATCAGTGAAAAGTTCCACATTGAAGTAAATATGCTGCAAGCACAACACAGATATATGGATGACAACTTGAACTGTAACTCTCTACTGCCAGTGTGGTTTGAGTGTGATCCTGCCACTGCAGTCAAACCACGTATTATAGTGTAGCAACGACAACTCACTCTACTACTTCCGAGTCCTTCGCTTGCTTTGATCTTGGGGATAGGGCTGCTGGCCATGGGGAGTCGTCAAGCGTGTGCGCCGCGTCCGGTGATCCCCCGGGCCGGCCCCGGCGGGGTCCTGCGTAGAGTATACGGGTGGAGTTCCAGTGTGCTGTTGAGAACCGGGTCCTGGCATGCCAACGCCGTGGCCTTGCGAGGGAGGCGGCGCCACTGGCAGTGGTGGGATCCCATGCTGGGATTGTGAATTGGAGGGCCCGGCGGCCCCCGGACCGTGATTACGGTGTGTCGGTGGGGGAGCAGATCTGGCCCGGACCCCGCCGCCGGCAGGAGCTTGCGTGCCCGTGGCCCTTCGCGACCGAGTAAAACCTGAGGGTCCGGGACCGCGCGTTGACATTGACTCGATGCTTTGGCCCGGGCCCCGGCCGGCCGACGGGCCGTTCACGTTTGCGATGACTGGCAGCTCAGTGTCGGGACGGAAGCTGCATCGGACTTCGACAGGCTTAGGCCGGGATTTCTTCGCCAGCCCTGGGCTCCCGGGCCAGCCGTTCCGAGTCGGTGGATCCGTGGGGAAGGATAGGCACCACTTGCACGACTGTAACTCCTCTTCGGAGTACTTTTCCACCCCGTGACGCCGACGCTCTTTCTCCGCCGCCGTGAGCAGCTCGCACTAAGGGAACCACAAGTCAGTTGGCTGCCCGGGCCAGTACACGGTGGACTGGGATGTTGGCCGTACCTTGAAGTTAGGGCTCCCAACCGTCCCCGTCTATGGACGGGTCTACGGTGCCGTATTTACGGTACGGGACCCGTACCGTCGGCGGTGTTGGTCCCTTCCTGTACGGGACGGGTGACGGACGTGGGAAGCCCGGATACGGGCCGCCGGCGCCCGTCCCACCTTATTTAGGTAATTGGGACAAGATTGGGACCTATTTGAGCCAGTTAAACAAGTTTCGTAAGGAAATCCGCTGAATGGGGACAATAATCCGTGCTTACCAACTTTTTCCAGGTAAACCATTGACATATAACGGCCGTCTACGGTACGGGTTACGGCCATACGGTGCCGTACCGTATGAGATCCGCCGGCGCCACTTGACGGTACGGGGAAGGCCGTCCCGGTCTGGGCAACGGCCGTAATATTGGACGGCCGTCCCTGTATACGGGACGGTTGGGAGCCCTACTTGAAGTTTCTATCGAGGCACGGCCGGCATGGTTGGGGGGGATACTGCGCCGTTGGCCGTTCCCCTTGATAGTTCACGTTGCGCGTCTGCGAGTCGGAGTTGTGGGCCATGATAAGGACTCGGAGGAGCAGTGGAAGTCAAGAGATGATTTCCGGTAGCTTGTTTCTTCACGGCCTGTTCACTGCTTCTTATATAGTGCCAGAGTGTCGGGGCTGTGCCAGCAGCTTTTCTAATGGGGGCGCCCACGAGGCGAAAATTCCATGCGATACACTTGCACATTTGATTGATATCAGCCTCTGTGTAGGCCTCTGAGTCACCCAAGAGTCACCAGTATCCACTTATAGGTTGCTTACTAGTCGAGGAACATACTTACTAATAGTAAGCCCTGTCCACACGGCACACGTGGGCCTCTGACTCCCCTCCAGCTTGCAGTCAGTGAGTCATCACAAAATCGTTGACTCGCGACACCTGAGAAAGGAAATCAAAAGGAAATGGTGCAAGCCACGCGCTGCACCGCCACGTTACCCACGCTGATCGCGCTTGTCTTCGTACCACGACCACGACATCATCATGGATCCTTCGCCACATACTCAACCCGCCTCTGACAGCGACGACGAGATCACCGGGACGCCGGCGGAAACGCTGCAGCGAAGACCAGCGCAGCGCGAGTCGGTGGCGGGGAGTCTGCAAAATCGAAATGCGAGCGGGATATGGTGTGGGGCGGTGATTGGACGCGGGGAGCGGACGGAGGACGTGCTGCCCAACCCGCTGCCAATCGCCTCACCATCGCCATCGTCATCGCCAACACGGACGAATGGATGTGGGACACGTGTCCACGCGTCTGCTTACTGGGCAGGCGGACGATGGGTGGCGCCGCCGGAAGGAGTGAGCGCCGCTGTCATCCCGCTGGAGAGCACGTACTTCGACCCCGATGCGGCGCGGATGCTGGAGCTAGGAGGAGCAGCGGGGTGTGGGTGTGCGGCACGTGGTGTGGGCTGTGCAGTCTGGTGCGTGTGCTGTTGTTGTTGTCTGATTCAGGACTTCTGCTGATGAATACGAAGTGGGAATGCATTGGGTGCGCTGTTTACGCCATGCAGGACGCATACGGCGCGCGGTACCGGGGCGTTGCGCCGGCAACAGCATTATATTTTCCTGCCGGGCCACGTTAGCCCCGCCATTCAAGACGCGTTAACCCGGTGCGTGTTTATTATCTCTTTCTTGCTCTGGCGCCGACCTAGAATGCAGACCAGTCCCCACAACGACACACGCTACCGCAGACGCCACGCCCCGCCCACCCGCAGTCACACTGCCGCCGTCCACGACATTGCCCATTCGCAACGCAGGCCCATCGGTAGAATCAGGCGGGCCCTTCCCCACAATAGCGCCCGCGACGCTGGAGAGGTTCAGGGCGGCCGATGCGGAGGTCCGCCAAAGGCTGCAGGCAGAAACGGCCCGGGGAGATGTCGAGTGCGTGGCTTCATTTCTGCTTGCTCTCTCCAATACCTCGGCTCTTACTCTTCTCCATAAACACGGTTCAAGCCTTACTCATCGGATTGCAGTGCCACCCCCCCCGTACCAGACACGTTTATGGCGATGGAGAGTCCGTTCCGGGAGCTGTACCAGCGGCTGCGCGAACGGGCCGGTGACACAGACGCTGGAAACACCAATTCAAGCAATGAAGAGAACGGCGGGCAGGGCCGCGGCGCAACTGAGTGAGCCTTCTCCTATACATGCCCTGTTTTGCTGGGGCTGACCGAACTCCAGATCCACCACCAATCCCAACCAAGCCGGCAGCAATAACCGTGAACTTGAAGCTGATTCAGACGACGCCATCATGCGCCTCTTGGACGCAGAACCGATTCGGAGGGCGCTGGGGCCCGAGACGCACGCGGTGGGCCCCTTCGGCGACGCCGAGCTCCTCGCTGGTCCCGGACCGGGCGCTTGGGAAGCGGGCGCTGGCTGGCCCGAGCCGCCGCCGCCGCCGGGGATCCTCCCTCCGCTGGAGATGCTCGCGCCGCGGCCTCCGGTCATGGGCGCCGGGCCGGGGAATCCGGCGGCTGCGATAAGAGATTCACCCACAGCTGACCAACCGCTTCCTCAGGCGATAGAACCGCCGCCGACAGGCGCAACCGTGGCCGCGCCGACCGACGGCGTGGAGGAGATGATCGAGGTGCTGCGCATGGTGGCTGAGATGGGGACGCCGGTCGCGCCTCCCGCGCCTGCCCCGGCGGCGGACCGTGACCGTCGCGCTGCGTTGCGCCGACTGGCGGACGAGCAGGACCGGATGGACCGCGGGACGCCCGGGCCGGTGACAGGGGCGATGGATCGGGAGTGGGACGCGTTGCGTGTGCGGGCAGCCAGAGACCGCGTCGCGGCGGCCCGGCTGGAGGCTGCTGAAACGGATGGCGAGATTGCGCCGTGGTACAACCCAACGCCGGACTCGGAAGCCGGCCCGCGCAGTGCGAGTACGATGCCGCCGGAACGATCTGAAGCGCCGATGGGGCCAGTTCCTGCAGGGAGCCCGTGAGTGTCTTTTCGAAGCTTGATTGTGTGTTGAACGCGGGCAGATCGCCGCCGCCCCGGTTGCTAGTAGGGGCCCACGCGCGGAGGGCCCTGATGGCGCGCAGGCAGGCGGATGCAGGTGGTAGTGGCGAGGGGAGTGCGGTGCCTGCCCGAGACCCGGTCGCCCCCACGGTAACTACAACTACAACGGTCCCCGTCCGGCCAATCGCGTCCGGCCCGCCCACGCCGGCCGCGGGCGATGCTGTGGACAGACCCAACGAGTGAGTGCTTCCTTCTGCTCGATGCGCAGTGTGTGTTGAACGTGCGCAGAATGCCGGGGCCCCGGCTACTGACAGCGGCGCACGCGCGGAGGTCCAGGATGGCGGCGGTACCGGTACGGGCGGGCCAAACGGCCGCAGCGGTCCCTGCAACGGTCCCCGTCCAGCCAGTCGCGCCCGGCCCGCCCACACCGGGCGATGCTGTGGACAGGCCCTCCCACGGCGCAGGCGGGGACGGCTGCGGGTAGTGAAGGCCAGAGTGCAAGGCATGCGTCGCCCCCGTTCGAGCGCTAGCTGCATATGGATGAAGCGGGGTTTGTGTTTGTGTGCCCCATGTTGTCTGCTTTGAATATGCTGTGTATTGTTTATCGTCCTTGTAAATCTTTCACCTACCAAACACTCGCTTGATTGGTAACCTAGACATACTAATACTTACAAAGTAGGACAGAAACATTATGTGAGGCCACTTACATAGGAATTTTCAGTTCCACACACTGTGAGTCTGTGTCGCATTCTGGGCTTACTTCCGTTCATATAAAAAGCTTTCTACCTTTGTGGAAAAACAAAATGATTGCTTGAAAGTGTCAACTATTTCTTTTTAAGCAGCATAAGGAACTGCCAACCAAAGCATCGCTTTACTGATGCTATCAGGCTTTGGGTTGCAATTGGGCCATGTAAGGCTCTCCTAGTGTCTCACTGGCACACCGGGAACAGATCAGACAGATTGTGTCAGAGAAACCTCCACTTTGCAATCAGGTTGTCCATTCAGACAATGACACAGATCTGTCAACACCCTCCCAACAGTTGCCCAGGGACCTTGCCTGCAACACCGCCCACGCCTTCTGTGCCCAACAGCAGCAGCTACAGACAAGCAGTATATAGTCAGCTGCCTAGCAGGTGGACCCTTAGAGTCTCTTCTCCTTGGATCCTCCCCTGGGTTGTGTTCATGTTGTTGATGTTAGGAGTATACTGTAGTAATTTATTCAATTTGGTGCCCCAAAATGGTGTAACATCGGCGCCAAAATTAAATTTTCGGCGCTGCTTGTCGATGTGTGTGACAGTCGAAATTTTTCGGCCTATTTAGCGGCCCAGAGGGCTGCCAAATTTTTTTTGATGCCTTGATGGGCATTTGACATTCGGCATCTAGCTGTGGGCCTGTGACACGCCGAAATTCTTCGGCGCTGGAGGGCTGGTGTGACACGTGACTGCCGAATTAAATAAATTGCTACAGTACTTGGCTAGCAGAACTTCTGCTAGTTAAAAAAGAAAAAAAAAACCCTTAAAAAGGTTATGAAAAACTAAGAGAAACTAAGGCGGCTACCAGATATGGCTGCTGACTCAGTGGAGCGGTCACATGACATGCTTGACGAGTAAGGCTCGGCACCTTTCAAATAAGCTTTAACCACTACTAATGAGTGAATGCATTGTATTCTCAGTGCTATTGTGACTGGGGGTTTGAAGCAGTCAGTATCTGAATGTATAAGTCACCTACCTCATATTCCTTGAGTACTAGATATTTCATTTGCTATAACTGAATAGCAAATACAGGGATCATATCATATTATAGTGATCAACTACTATATTCAATTAATGGTACTCTTGAGAACCTTTCTAATAGCATATCAATGATGTATTCATCTTCAGTAGTTGTGGACATAGAGGCTCCTCATAATCAGTTGTACATCAGGTAGTGATTGAAACCGGGTGACAAAACCCCAGTCCATTTATAGCACCTATTTCTTGTATACACCAGCAAATTTGGGGAGAATTTCTTTGTTTTTGGTACATTGATTTGGGTTTTTTTTTTTTTTTGGCTGTATCATATGCGAACTCTTGTGCAGTTGATAATTGATCATCCCACAAGGCTCTGGTAAAGGTTGGACATGTGAATATCCAAAGCAGAAATAGGTGGCTGGTTATTCCTGAACTCCCACAGGGATCTTTAGATCAAATGTTATGCCACCTTGGCACTCAAATTAAGTAAAATACTTTGAAAATACTACAGTATTCTGTCTTTCTCTCATCAGGCTGTATAACAACATGTAAATGACAGAAAGACTCATGAAATTTCATTGTATTTAACATACCACTAAGTAGCTGTTTCTAATACTGGGAATAACATGTACTTTCAATCCACAGGGAACATCCATAATGGAGATCTGCAAATCTCTACTGCCACTATCCAAGGGATATCCATATAGGCTCGGGGTATATACATTTCAGGAAGTTGGTATATAGCTGTCAATGGCAACATGTTATGTGACTCTAGCTGAGGGCTAATAGCAGATAAGTTGTTCTTGAATATAGTGTATCTATAATCATCTGATAACACTGGTGGCACTGCAACATCCAGGACTACATTAGAAACAGCATCCAGTGCTAATTGTACTGATTTCATTGACTGGACACTTAAGTCTGAATGTCTATGGGCTCTAGTTAGCATACATAGTGAGCTGTAGGTTGCTAAATATACCTTCTCAAGAGGGCTAGCTGTCCACAAAGCTCAACATTTTGCTGCCATGTCCATCTAGAGTATCCTGCTACAATATAATGGAAGGCAAACTGTTTGCAGACACCAGAATGCCTTGAGTTTTCATCCCATAGCACTGGTGCCATATTAATAAGCTTCCAATGGAATATATCATCACTTGAAGTGACTTCTTCTGTAAGGAAACTTGTAAGAAAGGCTCTGCAAATAACAGCTTCTGCTTCCTCTATGCTATATCACATTAAGACTGAGTGAAAGCTTCAAAGATTAATGAAGGCTTACCTTAGATCCTTATGAAGAGGTGTTGACACTGTTGAGCCATAACTTTTTTGCTTTGATTCCCCAGATATTGCACTATACAAGTGCTCAAATGACCATCTCTCTAACAACAGATGAACCAGCTGTTGGGAGATATTATCATGGATGATTTGCAGAGTAGGCAGGTTATTTGTCTGAACACCTGAACCAGCATGCATACAGCAGAGATGTGCCATGATCCAGATGCTCTGTTTATATGTTGTCCTGCAAATCAATTAGAAAAAAAAGAACAGAGAATATTTAGAAACATGGCATTACAATGAAACTGAGAGTAGTGAAAGCAATATCCTCCATGATACTGCTATGAAGCTACTCGGAAGGACATGCCCCTGGTTACACAGCATCTCCAGAAATTTCAATGCATCTGATTGTACTTGCTGGTCTGATGAACTTAAGGAATATTGCCAGATCATAAGGTTTGCTGGGTTTGTCAGTGATTGGATGAATGCTGCAGCTATACAGTCCTTTGGAAGGCTATCTTCATAGATGCATAATGTTACAACAAGTTTGAATGTTGGTACTTGCACTTTTGGTATGGAGGAGTCCAGCAGCATTTGCCATATCATCTTGTTTGCAGGCATGTTGAGTGATTGAATGAGTGGTGCTGTGGCAGCTGCATCTTCTGGGTATTTGAATCTGAAATGAAGGTCCTGTAAAATCATCTGTTTTGTAGCAGCAGCAACATTAGATGAACTATAAATAATCAACAATTGTCTGAGTCTTATTGAAGAGTTAGAGGCTGACCCAAGATAGCTGAGATACTGATCCAGGACCAGTGGGGACAATAGTTTCCCTCGATTTGTTGTAATGAGTTTATATGCCTCACGGCCATACATGAAGCGTATGAGAGGTTTTGCTGCAGTATGTAGGTTGATTGTGGGGCCTGTGTTACTTGAGTTGGACCAGCTGCTGTGGATGCTGGGAACTGTGGTTATCCGGGAAAGTGAGGCCATGGCGGGAAGTTTCCACAGCAGCTCACTCGGACTGCTCGCTATTTATCTCACAGCACTCCGGCACTGATGATCAATGCCGCAGGAAGTCCTCGCACAATGTTGGCAGATATCTAGGGCTGTAGACCGTACCGTATACGGCTACGGCCGTGTACGGTACGGCGGCTTACGGGTCCGGGACGGAGACAAGCCGTACCGTAAGACCTCCCGCAGGAGGCGCTTACGGTACGGTACGGCGCCGTCCAGCCGTAATACGGCTACGGGGACGGCTTCGTAGTCACAGGATGTGACCCAGGCCCAAGCCCAACTACGAGTGACCGGGCCGCGCCGGGCGATGATGCCAAGCACATCCCCACGGTGTTGTGCGGCTCATGGGGATGCGCTGGATGACTGGCGGCTGCTAAAGACCCTGACAAGGGGTCGCCGGAGACCGACCGGGGGCCCGATACCTTGCGGATCGGCCCTATTTCGGATCAGTATCCATGCTAGCTGAGCCTAAGCCGTATACGGCGACCGTCACCGTATACGGGACGGTCATTACGGCGTCACGGCCGTCCCGTCGCCGTACCGTACACTCGGGCACCAAGGTGCCATACGGTACGGCTACGGCGCCGTATTACGGCGTGCCGTACGCCGTAATATACGGCGACGGCCTACAGCCCTACAGATATCAGTGAATGTGGAGCAGCTTCTGACATTGTTGTTGATATGTCTTAACAGCACTTGCGCTGCTCACCCCATCGATCTCACACGCTCAGAAGATGCCCCTGCATCGCAATGAGCACGAGTTCACATTTTCGATCAAGCTTTCGGGCCTTGTCGCCGAGCCACGTGTTGCACCGCCACGTTCCCCACGCCGAGCTCCCTTGTCTCCGTACCACGACATACGACATCATGGACCCTTCCCCATCTGCGCAACCCGCCTCCGAGAGGTAGTGGTCCCGCTGGACGGCACGTATTTCACCCCAGATGCGGCGCGGATGTTGGAATTGGCAAGAGCCGCGGGGTGTGGATGTGCAGCTTATGGTGTCGGGTGTGCAGTTTGGTGCGTCAATTGTCTTGTCTGCGATGATTGTTGGCTGATAACGGTGTAGTGGAAATGCGCTGGGGGCGCTGTTCACACCGTGCAGAACTCATACGGCGCGCAGCAGCGGGTCATTGCGCCGCCAACAGCATTATGTCTTCCTTCCCGGCCATGTCAGTCCCGCCATTCATGATGCACGGTTCGTGGCCCTCTTCTTTCTTCTTTATACCGTTAATTGGGCTGCAGAGCCCAGACACAAGCACCCACAACGACACCCACTAACGCAGACGCCACGCCGCGCCCACCCGCAGTCACACTTCCGCCGTTGCCCATTCGCACTTCAGGGTCATCGGTAGAATCAGGCAGGGGGGCCTTCCCTACTAGCAATAGCGCCCGCGACGCTGGAGAGGTTCGCTGCAGCCGATGCGGGGGTCCGCGAAAGACTGCAGGCAGAAACGGCCCGGGGAGATGTCGAGTGCGTGGCTTCTCTTCTGCTTGTTGTTCGTCTCTACAGTCCCCCGTTTCTTGTCCAATGTCTCTTACCCTTCTTCCTTTTCACCTGGCCCCCTCTTCCCCATACGCGAATTTAAGCTCACCCATCCGATGACAGTGACGCCCCGCCCGTACCAGACACGTTTGTCGTGATGGAGAGTCCGTTCCGGGAGATGTACCAACGGCGCCGCGCGGTGAGCCTACGGGCCGGCGACGCAGACAGCGGGAACACAAATTTGAGCGACGGAGAAAACCGCAACGCCGCGCAGGGCGCGTCGTAAGTGCTCCCATTGTCGAACTCGAACGGGGGCTGACTGCCAAACGACAGACCCACCACCGATGCCAACCAATTCAACAATGACGTTGACGCCGATTCAGATGATGTCGTCATGCGCGTCTTGGACGCAGAAAGAATGCGTCGGGGGCTGGGTCCGGAGCCCCGGCTTGAATCGGGTGCTCCGCACCGGATCCGGGCCGGACGTCTGGCAAGCGGGCGTTGGCTGGTCCGAGCCGCCCCCGCCCTCGCCGCCGGGATCCTCCCCCCGCTGGAGATCGTCGCGCCTCCGGTCATCGGCGCCGGCCCGGGGCCGGGGCCGGGGAGTACGGCGGTGGCTGCGGGCGTAACCACCACGGCTGACCAGCCGCGCGCTGGGGGGATAGAAGCGACGAACGACGGCGAGGCGGAGATGATCGAGGTCCTGCGCATGGTGGCAGAGATGGGGACACCGGTCCCACTGCCCGTCGCCGCCCCTGGCGCTGACCGGCGTGCCGCGATGCACCGACTCGCGGCCGAGCAGGGCCGGATGGACCGCGGGACGCCCGGGCCGGTGACAGGGGCGATGGGGGACGGGGGGTGGGGTGCGGGCGGCCAGAGACCGCGTCGTGGCGGCCCGGCGGGAGGCTGCTGAAACGGATGGCGAGATTGCGCCGTGACACACCCCGCCGGGGCCGCCGCCGGACGCCGGCCCGAACACCGCCGCCGGAACGGTCCGAGGCGCCGATGTGGCCGCCTTCTCCAGTTCCTGCAAGGAGCCCGTGAGTGTCTCCTTCTAGAAGCTTGATTGTGTGTTGACCGCGGGCAGAACGCCGCCGCCCCGGTTGCTCGTCGGGGCCCACGCGCGGAGGGCCTTGATGGCGCGGGAGCGCGATCAGCGTGGGTAACGTGGCGGTGCACCACGTCGCCGCTTCGTTCTTGACTCGACACCACCAACCAGGTGGACTCCTTTGCATCGACAACGTGGCCGCCCTCCCGCGATGCACCCCGTCACGGTGCCAGTGGATACAGTTCTCTGCACAGAACTACGAAGCCTGCTCAGCCTTCTGTCAAGGTCCCACGGAGATCGCACTCAATGCTCTAACTCACTACCTCCCACGCTTCAAATTCCGACGCGCTCCTCAGCCTCTTCAACTGTACAGTACTTCTCCTCCGCGTCATCACTTCTGACCTCACACGGACAACACGGCGGTCTAGTAGAACGCGAATGATGAAATCGCGGTGTTTCATGTTTCGAAGGATAATGCTAGTGTCGATTCTCCTCTTGATTGCGGAAACAATACTTATGGCAACATCAGTGGGGCATACAAGTGGCACTTGTGGAATGCCGTATCCCGATGCCCGTACGGCGCCGACCTTCTATGGACAAACGCACTGCCACCCCGCTCACCCCGGCCCAGGCATTTGGCCTCGGCCGGATGAATTCAATCGCATCAAGCACGTTTAACGAGCAACTACGCGTATAAAAAACCAGGTCCACAGCAGGCAGTCCTCAGTTCGTTGTTCCCTCAACCCACTCACTCCTTCACCTTCTCGCCGCCAGGCCGGCTTTTCTTTTTTTTTTCTTTTTTCTTGATTCTCATCCCCTTGCGCTGGCTCGCATTTCAATTCTTTTCTTCGCACCAACGCTCAGTCCGCTAAACCACTGAGTCAGCATCCGCCTCTACGACTACTAGTCCGCCGCGACTTTCCAATGCGCTTCCCGACCAGCCTCTTGCTTGCGCTCCTTCTGGCGCTGCCTGTGTTTGGCACCCTCGACCCGCCCGCCGCCCCCCGCACTGGCAGCGGACGACGCCGAGCTGATGGTGCGCCGCGGTCCTGCTACTGATGTGTTGTCTCTCATGATCTCGCACATGTTTCATAGGCACTCGAAGCCCGTGCGGCGCGCAGGGCAGCCAAGCCTCCGGTGAGTAATGCATCTCGTGTCTGTGGGCGATGCCAGCTGACCTGGGCATTGACGTGCTGCTTGCTTGCCAAAATGACAAACAAGGACTAAGTGTGCAAGTGCCTTCAGAGCTAACAAACTCCTCAGGAAACTCAACACCAAGAACTCAAGAACTCAAAAGAGAACTCAAACTCAGAAGGGAAAGACTGGGAGGGGAAGCACTGGGGAGGATGATGATAACTACTAACTATGAACAAGCTTTTATAGACTAGATAAATAAGGGTTAAATGAAATAGAAACTAAAATCAAATGGAAAATGAGCACCAAAGTCAGGAAAGATAGGGAATGGAAACTAAGGTAGGAAATGGAAACTAAAATAGGAAAATGGCAACTAGAAAAGGAAGTGGAAACTAAAATAGGAAATCAAACTGTGTGACAAGGTGTGACTTGTGACGAGCCAGGCTCGTCATCTCCTCTCAACTCAAAAAGTGACTGTCCCCAGTCACTCACTGGAAAGAGAACACTAACAACTTGAAGGAATAAATCAGAAAAGTAAAAAGTGAAACAGAAATGGGGGAGAGTGTCAATAGACTTCATCAAGTCTGGCAACTTTCCAAAAAGGAAGTCCTAAGGCAACTACACCACTGCCTGACCAGGCAAACATGGGCCTGCGAATCAGGGCAACAGCGGAAATGTAGTTCAGAAGGTTGATCCGGATCAGAAGCGGTCGCCAAGCGGTCAAAAGTGTAGGAGGCGGTGGTGGCGGGAGCAATTCAGCAGCGTAAAACAGCGTCTCGGGGTTGTGGCAGCGCAGCAGGCAACAATATCGCGGGTGGGTTCTCAGCTCAAAGTTTCAACAGCAGGTTTAGCAGCATGGGTAATTTGTGCATCGCAGGGGTAAGCAGCTCGGGGTTCAAATGTATGCAGGTCACAGCACAGGGTGGTCTCAATTCAACTAGAAGTTCGCAGTTCGCATCGCGGGAAAAGTTCATTCTATAGGGTCACGGTGGTGGGAGTAGCGGCAGCATGTATGGCTGAGTCGGTTGCTGTGGCATCGCTTGTCGCCGGGCGCGGCTCGGGGATGGTGGTTGGAAGCAGCGGCAATGCGTCTGCTTGCCGGCTTCGGCCGCGTTCGGGCAACGGGCCGGCGTTTGCGCTTCGGCGTCACGCATCGGTCACATCTCTTCATTTTGCTTTCAACCTTCATCATCGCCGCCAGCAAGAACGAATTATAGCGGCAAATAACGAGGAACAATGGTAGGAAGGCTCTGGGAGTTGGCAAAGGGCTAGACTGCGGGCTGCAGAGGGGTCGGGAGGGCAGGAATGGGCGGAGATGCGAGCGGGGTTTTTTGCGAGCGAGTCGCTGCTGGTGAGTGCTTGTGCACGTGCGGCGGCTATTCTGACCTGTTGTGGGTACAGATGGTTTCTCTGGATGGCTGGGTCGGCAATACAAACGTGGCGGCGCAATACAAGGGCAGCAGCGGGCGGCCCAGAGCAATAGGAAGCGCAACAACGGCCACAGAGGACCGGAGATGAAGGATGGGGGGTTTTCGAACGATGGTTGAGGCTGGTGAGTGCTCGTCGCACGTGCAATGGCTGTAATGACTCGTTTTCAGTCCAGGATAGCTCTCTGAAGGGCTAGGATGGCAACGCGACTGGGGCGGCAGCTTTATGGGTGGAAACGCGAACCGGGCAGCCAGGGCAGCACAGACAAGTGCTCGTCGCACGCGTCGAGCTGGAACGACTTGCCGTGGGTGTAGTGGACTCGTATGGATGGTCGGGACGTGGCTGGGATAAAAACGCGAGTGTGGCGCCGGTGGAGGAGCAATACAACAGTCGGAGGACGGCAACGGGCAGCGCTGAGGAGTAGAAAGGGCAAGCACTGGCGCAGCAAGGTGGGGATGGAGCACAAAGGGTTCTCAAACCGAAATAGACGTTGGTGAGTGCTCGTTGCACGTATAAGCGCTGTAACGACGCGTCGTCGGTGCAGGATGGCTCTCTGGGTGGCTAGGATAACAACACGACTGTGGCGGCGGCGTTCCGGGTTGAAACGCTGAACTGGGAAGCCCTTGCGGCGCAGACAAGTACTCGTCCGACGCGTAGCGGCTGGACCGACTTGTCGTGGGTGTAGTGGACGCAACTTGAGCGCCGCAGCTGACTTTATGACTAGAGGCGCGAGTTTTGGGACGCAAACGGCAGCCGGATTAATCAAGACTAGCAGGCCGGCTCAAATATCACAACAGGACTGGGCAGAAACGGGCGGTCAGATGCCTGAGGGCAAGCACGGACGACGGCGGGACGGGGTCTTGAACCCGTAGGGATGGCGGGAATGCGGCGCAGGCCGCGTAGCGGCGAGTTTACGGTTGTATGTGCAGGTCTGGGGCACAAACTGGTGGACGGGGTAACGTCGCGCGGCGTGTGCGGCGACAGCCAGGGGATGGTATGCTAAGGGAGGATGCGGGGATCGGAAACAGCTACCGCGGCGTGGTGAAACGACCAAGGTGTGTCGTCGTCAAGTGGGCGCAGAACACTTTATTTCAGGGCCAGGCTTGTCTCAGGAGCGCAAAACGGGGTCGCTCCGGAGAGACAGGCGCGGGACGACGAAAACAGCAGCTGGACAGTATCGGGGGCGCGAGAGCGTGCCGGACGCCGAGACGGAGATTGTGTCAGGGAGTAGTAAAATGCGGGGGTCGGGCTGAAGCTCAGGAAAATGGCGGGTCGTTGTACAGCTCTGTAGTAGTTGGCGCAATTTACAGTTTGGAGGCTTGGTTGGTGCGGTAAAGTGTAAGGAGTTTCGGAAGCTGTTTTGAAGACCCTCGCGGTGGGCTCCAAAATGACGTGCTGCTTGCTTGCCAAAATGACAAACAAGGACTAAGTGTGCAAGTGCCTTCAGAGCTAACAAACTCCTCAGGAAACTCAACACCAAGAACTCAAGAACTCAAAAGAGAACTCAAACTCAGAAGGGAAAGACTGGGAGGGGAAGCACTGGGGAGGATGATGATAACTACTAACTATGAACAAGCTTTTATAGACTAGATAAATAAGGGTTAAATGAAATAGAAACTAAAATCAAATGGAAAATGAGCAACAAAGTCAGGAAAGATAGGGAATGGAAACTAAGGTAGGAAATGGAAACTAAAATAGGAAAATGGCAACTAGAAAAGGAAGTGGAAACTAAAATAGGAAATCAAACTGTGTGACAAGGTGTGACTTGGGACGAGCCAGGCTCGTCAGCATTGGCATGAAGGCCCCGGCAGTGCCAGTGGCCCCCAAGAAGGGACCGGCGAAACCACCGAAGACGCCCGACGAAGCCCCCTCCAAAGACCACCATGAAAGCCCCTGCAAAGACGCCCGACGAAGCCTCCGCCAAAGACCACTACGAAAGCCCCTGCAAAGACGCCGACGAAGCCTCCGCCAAAGACGACGACAAAGGCCCCTGCAAAGACGCCAACGAAGCCTCCCCAAAAACCACCACAAAGGCCCCCGCAAAAAGACACCGACGAAACCTCCCCAAAAAACCACTGCGAAAGGTCCGGTGAAGGGAACAACAACGAAGGCTCCTGCGAAGACGCCCGTAAAGCCGCCCACTAAGCCGACGTCAAAGGGAAGCCCCTCGGCAGCCGCTTCCGCTAAACCAGCCAGCAGTGCCGTCGCCACGAAGGCATGCTCCCAGGCGCAGATTACCAAGGAGTTGGAAGCGCGCTACGCTGAATTCGCGCCAAACCGACACGAGGCGCGCGCAGGCGTAT